GTGCCCCCCCCCCTTCGTGTGGGTCTCATTCCACCCGTTTGGAACCAGAAACGGGCAGACCTCTGCAGATGTGTTGACTTGTTAATAACAACTGCTTGCTTGCTCCCTTGCCAGAAAGTGACTACTTCCCCGTGCTTAAAAACTCCCATTGCGTCACTTTCCCTGGAAGGACTCGCAAAAAAAAAATCTCGGCTGCTAAGACGAGAGGCCACCTCTGCATCTGGTCTTTGCCCTGCAGCTGTCAACAATTTTGCTGTGGCACAGCTCCGTCCTAGAGGGTGCCCTTACATGCCCTGAAAATAATCTCAGCGGAAAGTGTACTTGCAGAATGCAAAAAATGGGGCCTGGGAAGTCGTAACAGAAGGCATTCTTACCTACTCCTACTCTAGTACGAGAGAGGAGTTGGATGGCTTCTATCCGTGAAAAAGTGTAGGAGCTTGTGCAGATAGTTGGTTGGCTAGGGAGAAAAAGAGGGGAAGAGATGGTTGGAAATATTTCTTGGAGCCCTACTCAGACTGCCTTAAAGAAGATGGCCCTGGGTCTGCACTGGAGCAGACCCAAAGAGTGGCTTCATGCCCTGGTCATCTCACGATTGGATGACTGCAATGCGCTCTATGCGGGACTGCCCTTGGCCATCTGGAAGCTGCAGCTGGTCCAGAAGGCAGCAATGGAGGTAGTGACGTGGGCTCTGTGTTATGTATGTGTGACCCCACTGCTTTGTGAGCTGCGCTGGTTGCTGTTCAGCTCCCTGGTGCTATTCAGGATGCTGGTTATCACCTTTAAGGCCCTTCAAGGCATGGGGCTGGCTATCTGAGGGTCCACTCATTTCCAGGTGTCTCTGCCCATCTGGTCCAGTTCAGTAGGGTGGGTGCATGTCAAGCCCCATCAATTATCTTCTGGAACCTAGGAAGCACACCTATTCTGTTGCAATTCCTGCCCTTTGGAATGATCTCCCCCCAGAGATTTGTGTGGCTTTCACAGGAAGGTTTTAAAGACCTGGTTCTTCTCCCCAGTGATGGTGGGTGGAGCCTCCTTCTTGTATGGCTTTGTTTTATTTCATTCTGATCTGCTTTGTTCTGATTTTGTATTTTGCTCTTCTGGTTGGCTCTATTTCTTTTAATGTGTTGGTTTTTAGTTGCAAGCCACCCAGGATCATTTAGGAGTTGGGCGGCCTATAAATTAAATAAATGAACACACAGCTAGCTGTACCATTCCAGAAAACTACATGTCTGAATCAAAGGGTTTCAAGGGGGTGCAATTAAATTCTTTGAAGCCTGCATGGAGGTGCCTCAGCTGATTTGCACAATGTTTCTGGGGTTGAGGGTGAGCCCAGGAACAGAGGCAGCTTCTTGGAAGAGATGCCCGCAGGTATGACGTTGGCGTCCATGCCCACGCCAGGCTTCTAGGGCTTCAGATGACTACAGTAAGCCAGTCCATTGTACTATCAGATTTGCAGTCCTGAAATGAATCTCTGGGCTTCCTTGGATGATTCAACAGAAGGAGATTTGGAGCCTGTTTACGGTCTCTGTAGGGCAGTGTTTCTCAACCTTGGGAACTTTAAGATGTGTGGACTTCAACTCCCAGAATTGGTTAGAGCTGAAGTCCACACATCTTAAAGTTCCCAAGGTTGAGAAACCCTGCTGAAGGGTTTCTCCTTCCGCACCCTAATCCTTTTTCTTCTGTTGCTTTGCCTTGATCTCATTCCCAGCCAGGAGCAAGACAGCCATAAGTCATCCTTAGCTGTACCCAGGGCTATCCACAAGGGGTGGTCAAGGGTGTGAATCACCACGTGGGGCAATTGTCATAACCGTGTGATAGATAGGATCACCATGATGGTGCGAACAAAGCTCTGGAGCTTCAGTCACACCATGATCGGCATCCTCCTGACTTCTTTGACCACAACCTGCAGACACTCGTGACTATGCCGGTGTTACAGTAGCATTTTGCTCCTGACACCAGCCAAAGGCAGCCTCGATCTTTCAGGCTGGGTCACCATGTTGGAAGGAAGTCAGCAGCAGGACTGGAGATGTGAACAGGAACTTCCTTAGTTTTCTAGCACTTCAAGGATGGATAAAGAGCACCTCAGTTCACATTCCTGAACCAAATTTTAGTATGACTCTGTTCACCCTCCTGTATTTTTCAGTGCCCAAATTTAACTACAATCAGTCCGAGAGCTTGTTCGTCTTGGCTCCCCTGAAGGATTTCTACATTGGCCCCGTCATGAGTGCAATGGGGCTCGGTTTCCTGCTATCGATGCTTTTTTTCATAGAGCAAAATATTGTGGCGTCGCTCACAAATGCACCAGAGAACAGGTAATTTTTCCCACCGTTGTCTATTTTGCTGCTAATTATTCTGCCCTTTTGGGTTTCAGGTTTGGGTTCTCCAGCCAGGGCTCAGTCTTGGCTTTTGTCTTGTGACCAAAGGAGGAACCTCTGAGCATGTGCAGAGTTGCATTTGTCATCGTCATTGAGAAACTGCAGCCAGCCCTAACTCTCATGGAATTAAGGGATTCTGAAGCATTTCTGAATACCATGCTCTCTGCCCGTCTGTCTGCAGTATTATAAAGACCTCTATCTCCCTTTACTTCCTGCTCTTTAAAAATTGCAAATAGAAATTGCCTTAAATATGAAACCTGAAAACATTCCGCAGCTGAATAAACATAGGCTAAAGGAAAGGTCCTGCAGACGAGACCTTAAGTGTTCTGACTCTTGGTTGTGGATTGTTCTGACTTGGCCCATGTTCCTTCGTTGAATCTTGACTAACAAGGATTTTATTTCAGGTTGGTGAAGGGAACAGCCTATCACTGGGACCTGCTCCTCGTAGCTCTGATCAACACGGGGCTGTCCATCTTCGGATTACCCTGGATCCATGCTGCTTTTCCTCACTCACCAATGCATGTCCGGGCCCTGGCTTACGTAGAGGAAAGAGTTGAGAATGGGCACATCTATGAGACGTAAGTCCCAAGAAGAACCTGCTCTGTCTCGGTTGAGTCCAAAGGCCGGGACATCTCATGGCTTTGGAAGGCTTTGAGCTGTGCACCTGTGCTTGAAATCCACTAAAAATTGAAATGGGTGAGCTTCCTAAAATAGGGGGAGTGACCCTTAGCTACTCCTGAGAATTAGGCTCACCCTAAGAATGGTCTTGCTGGTCTGGTGCTGATTATCCTAGTCTGTGGCTGCTCCCAGGGTGGAATCCAAGATTTCTTTTAATGGGCAACCAAAATGACAGTGAGATCCAAGCACGCACACAAAGACACACACACACACACACACAAACACACACAAGTCAATCACGGTTGCAGTTGAGTAGCTTGGAGCAAAGGTGGACATGAAAGAAACCCAAAACATTGTCTATGTTTTCAATTGGTTTAACTTCGTATTAGTTTTTGCAAGGCACCCGGAGTCTGCTGGAGTGGGAAGCTATAATAAATTTAATGAAATAAAATAAGAAATAACAAGATTGTGCATCAAACGAAATATGACAGAAGAGGGTTCTTCTCCTTTTTTCATGATGTTAGAACCTGAGGCCTCCCACTAAGGCCAGAGGCAGGAAGACTGAGGACCAATAAAAGAAAAGATTTAAACCAGAGTTAAACCTCTGATTTCACAGTTGTCAAATGGGGTGACGGCTGGTGATTTAGATGGCTTAAAGTGAAGGAATTCATGAGAGATAGGGTTTTAAGAGCTGTCAAAATTGTTGGCGAAATGCTTTGAGTACCATCTGTTTGGGAGTAATGGAGGATGAGAGCTTTAAGAGGCAGGCCATAGAAACTTTCCAAAATAATCTCAGACTTGCGTGTTTTCTCAACCTTCACTTTCTTCTAGACCAGTGTTTTTCAAACTTGGCAACTTTAAGGCGTGTGGACTTCAACTCCCAGAATTCCCCAGCCAGCATGCTGGCT